CTGTGTGGACTCATTTTTTATCCGAAAATCTCAGCAATAAGATGAAAATGAACCACAACACCACAGCAACAATATTGATCTAATATTCAGATTTTTAAAAAATCTATAGTGAGACGCTGACAAACATTCCTAGAGTGCATTTTCTGGTTTTACAATTTTGTTAGATGTTCCAGAAATGTGCATTTTTCTCTTTCCTTCCTGCTTACTGTTCAAATACTTCTAAAAATGTGACTTTAAGTTTCTGTAACTGCATCAGTAGGCCACTAAATGGTGAAAGCAATCAACAGAAGCAGGAGTTTTGTTTGTGTGAACCTCACTGTGATCACTCCCTACAAATAAAACATGGCTAAGTGTGTGAGACAAATGTTCCAGCGCTCAGTGGCTCTGACTGTGTCTTGGCCGGGTTCTCCGCTTCTGCAAGGCTGCTCAGGTCCATGTCTGGGGCTCTGCAGCTGGTCTGAGACGGAGAGAGATGCTCCCCCCGGGGCTTCGGGCAGATGGTACGGTCTCTGGAGCAGATGTTGACAGCCAGGGCTCACAGTCTGCCTTTTGGCCAGCTGCAATGCACAGCATCACACGGCCCAGTGTGGCGCTCACCTGACAACCATCCCTTACCTGACTCCAGCTGCACTGCCCGGAAACCACCGCGAAGCTGGAGGTGCGGCTCTGCCACCGGACTCTCCTGGGGAATGTAGTGTTGTGCTGTGTGTGGAGCGTGTCACTCACACACTGCCTGCAAGCCAGAGCTCTTCTGGCTTTTTTTTTTTGTTGAATTTTTTGTACTAGAAGCAAAAGTATTTCCCAGAGAAACAGAGTCTGGAAAATGAAGTGTGGGATCAATATCCACCAAATGTATGAAATATTAAGCATTGTGCTCTTGTTTAGAGGTGGGGATGTGGTGAATCTATGTGAAAATCAGCATCCTGTATTGATTTTTCTTTGGAATTTTTTTGAAGTCATAAATTTGAAGTTGTAGAGAGGCAGACAAACAAGAAGATTTTAAAGTTTAGACACACGTGAGATAAATAAAAGTAGCTGCAATGTAAAATCAGGAGGGTGTACTCCTATTTTCTGCTTTTAATGTAGGATACTAGTGCTATTTCTTATTATTTGTTCCCAGAGCTGTCCTCCTTCTAAATGCACAACCATCTTTGACCCCCTACCAATGCCCATGTAATATAATCTAAATGGTAAATGGACTGCACTTAGCAGCACTCAAAGCGCTTTACAATGTGTTTGTCATTCACCCATTCACACACCAATGGTGACAGAGCTGCCATGCAAGGTGCTGCCTGCCACTGGGAGCAACTTCAGGTTCAGTGTCTTGCCCAAGGACACTTCCACTGTGGAGGGGCCAGGGATCGAACCACCAACCTTACAATCAGAGGACAACCACTCTACCACCTGAGCCACAGCCGCCCATGTAATGTAATATTTATGATGTGGTTTGTTGTTGTTTTTTCCCCCCAATGTATTTATATTAACTACTCAGTGAGCTTTTGAATTGCCCCTAGGGGACAAATAAAGTTATTTCAATTGAATCGAATTGAATCGAATGGAATTGAACCATTTGTACCTGATAAAAATCTCAGTGCAAACTGCTTCTCTGTAAACTGTTTTGCAATTCTGGAGTTGCAGCAGTGAGAGTATACGTGCTTATCTACACAACAACAGGCCTGGAGGTTGCTCAGTTTCCTGTTCTTAGACATTTCAGCAGAAGGGATGCTGCTTTACTCCGAACTCGAGTGTGTGGCGTCTTTACTGACAACAACACAACAGTGCTGCAAGTGCAGAAAGACCACACTGTGATAACAACAAACCATAGGACGACTCGCAGTACGATTAGATGATGTGACCTTAAAAGCATTTGAAATTCAAACTAAAATTGACACGTGGGACTTTTTGGACAAACAGGTAATTTGGTAAAAGCATGAGAGAAATATTTCCCTATTTCAATAACAGCAGGACTGTAGTGTCATAATGGATGAGTTATTTAAAGCCTTTTCTTCAGTGAAAGCACCAAGACATCAATGTGAAACACTCCATTACAGTAAAAGTTTGCATGAAAAATCTTATCAAAGCCAAAGCACAGCAGCAAAAATGAAGTTAAAGCTTTAAAGTAGAAGTACTGGTTTGCTCCCTCTGATCGATATATCATCATATCTGACATAACAACGTTATTAGAGGCGTGTCAGCAGCATGTTAGTGCTGCAGGTGGAGCTAGTTTGAACTAGTTTATATACAGTTTTATTTCAGGGACTTGTCAGATGATTAATGGGGGAAGAAAGAAGAAAAAACAAAGCTGGAATACATGATTTGGTTTTCAGTTTTTGGGTTCATTTTTGATTTTTGGTGGGATGTTGGATTATTTGAACATGTAGTAAAATGAAACCATGTAAGAAGTTTAGAGGGATAAAAATATGAAGAGTTCATTTGCAAAAACAGAGAACTCCACTTTTGTAGATTTTCAGAAACTTTTTTGTTGTTGTTTGCTTGAGATGATATCAATCAAACTGAAGTTGAGTGGATTTATGACATGACAAAAATAGACATAACTGAAGTTGATTGATTTTGTCTCAGGTAGACGATGGAAAAGTGGGTTTTCTGAAGGTTTGGGAAGATGGAGGTATCTGTTTTTGCAGATGAACTCTTTATTTGGTGGAGCTGTTAGGTAACTCTACAATGTGACCTACACTAATTCCTCAAAGAAGCCACAAAAAAACATTGCACAGCGCTGGTTTAATCTTTAACAGTGTCGTGTATTGTAAAACTTGTTTTATTATTATAAACTTCACACAGTGGCTGTAATGTTATAAACTTCAAATGAATGTAGTGGAGTAGAAAGTGCAGTATTTCCCTCTCACATATAGAGGAGTGGAAATGGAAATACTCAAGTAAAGTACCACAGAATTATGCCTAAAAACAGTTTAGTAAACGTACCTCCACCACAGGTTAAACTCAGCACATCACTTCTGGTTTACAGTAGATTGTCCTCTATCTCTTAGAGTGACATAAATGTGGATTCATTACATGCAGACTCAGCAGTATAGAAGCAGGTTGAGCTTGCTGACTGGAGGCTGTCACTGTCACACTTTTTCTCATAAGAAAAGTTTTTCTGAAAAGCAGCCAAACAGTCAGCTGGATGTAGAGCGCCATCTAGCGGGTATCAGGCTGTCAGGTTAAAGGTATTTCTGTTGGATTATCCACACAGCCACACACAGACATCAGAGGTTTCTTTGATTATCATTGAAAGTAAATGATTGCCCAAAATACCGACTCCAAGTCCAAATCCGAGTATCCAAACCACGTGATGAAGGTGATTCCAGTTGTTTTTCTCGATTTGCACACTTTGAAGCATTTTTTTTAAATAAACGATCTAATCCTCCATGTTCCCTCACGTGGTTTGCAGTTTTAATAATTTTGTACTGTTTTCGCTCGTTGTCACAGAAAAGCTTTTATTCTCTTTAACTTTCTGCAGGAATATTTTTGTCAAAGTGGGATAAACAAAGTCCGAGAGCACAGATCGTCTATAAGACAGTGACTCACCTGGTAGCTAAAAAAGGTCCTACGCATGCGCTGTGCGGTCTTAGTTGACCAATAAATTGTAGGTGCAGTCCCTTTTAAAGCAACTTTCTGTACATGGATTTAAAATATTAGAGCACATATTCGGTCCCCATTGTACACTTGTTGTATGTATTTGCATGTAAAATGTCTCAAGATGTTGCTATGAGAAGTGTTTTTATAATTGTAAGGTGAATGCATGAGGTCAAATATTCATCAAATTGTCTTTTGACACGAGATAAAACAAGATATAAGAGGAGGACTGAATGTCTAAGACAGTGGTGGCCATTGTCACACATTTTCTATAACTGTGATGCAGAACAATTTTGATGTACTTTAGTAGTTAATAGATATTTTTGCTGAAACCAATACTGCTGATCAATTATCAAGGAAATCCATCAGGGATGTTTGGAAGTGATA